ATACAATTTTTAATTAAAAAAAAAAAATGTATAAACAAATGGAAATATTTATTACTTCTCAGATTTTTTAAACGTTTACATTGAATAACATTCCTTATTCTATAATACAAATAAATGATAAAAGAATAAAAACACGGAAACTTGCACGGAGTCGCTAGTTATTAATTTTTTTCGCTCCTGCCGCGTGCCGCGTGCCGCGCAAACTAGTAGCAAGCGTGGTGCAACCAGAGAACGCAAAAAAAATAAAATGTATTTATAAACATAAGCATAAATTATTTAGTACAATATTTTTTAAAGTTGTATACATAAATATGTACATTACAGTGGTCCAAAAAAAGTTTTTCGAAGATAAAATTTTTCCACTTGCCGAAAGAGGTGCTGGTACCAAAACCTTACGTTTCTACGTATAAATTTAGAGGATGCTCATGATGCTCATATTTTACTCTAGAAGTATTGTGTATATATATAAATAAACAATTGGTTAAGTATCCTAAGAACATTTCAAATTTAAATTATCTTAAAAAATCGCACAAGCTTCAGTTGTCCTGGCAACAGTAGCTTTTTATAAAAATCACTACTATTTTTGCCAGTTTCACAGCGATCTAGGAGCGCATTTCAAGGTCATTGGGCACCCTGTATTGGTTGCAGTAGAAAACTGAAAGTTGGTATAGGTATTACATATATCTAGGATGCAATTTTTTTCCCAATACAAAAATTGGACCACTCTAATGTACATACATAATATGCATATTTATATATGTACGTATGTATGTATATATGCATGAATTTTGTCTTTACAGAGAAAAATAAATAAGGGGGATAGAGAGTAAGTATTTGTGCCACAGAAACTAAAAAACTAAGCACTTTTTAGCACCCCCAAAATAGTTTGCTACTTGTAGCAGTTATGCTGTATACCAGAACGAAATATAATCCTTGGTGTAAAAGTATATTTCTGGATTGTTGTTCAAGGACATATGTACATATGTACGCATGTATACGTATATGTAGATATGGGAAAATTTGCGTAAGCAAAGAATAGGGCCAGCCACATACCTATAACTTTGGCGTTAGAAGTATGCTTTCTTCAATGAAGCTTGGCAGAGAATGCTTTGGGCACTAAATTAACATATTAACAATAGATAAATTAATATTTCATGAAAAATTATATTTCTTGCCCTCATTTGATTAAAAGGCAATAATATTTCACATAATTTTATTTATTTACAACAGCTGACGACCGACGCACGCGATCTTTCTGCTTTCTGTTGGCGTTAGCGTTGCCAAATTTTGGCTATGGGCACGGCTGCATTGAAATTCAACGCCAAAGCAACGCCAAAGTTGTAGGTGTGTGGACCGGCCTCTATTCTTTACGCAAATTTTCCCATATCTACATATACATATACATACATACATATGTACATATGTCCTTGAACAACATCCGCAAGTACATTTTTTCACCAAGGATTACGATGCTATTGTGAGTGCCGATTAGTCGCTCAATCAGCGACTGTGAATACTTTTTAATCGCTCATCCTTCTATTGCTGTTTTTTAGTCGTTGGAGTTTGCGTTTATAAAATTTACATAAGAAAGTGTTACTATAATGGATAAAAGTAAGTCAATTAAACTGGAAGTCGTAAAAAATTGTGAATTATACATATGTATGTATGTGTCTGAATTACAGATCAAAATTTGTAAGCAACAAAAGGCAACTTGCGCGGTTGGGCAAGAGAATGAGGACATAGGCAAAGGAATTTTCGGAAAGAGTAGGGGCGGTAGCTCCGCTTCTATTGTGAAAGATATGCAATATATCTTGTGCATATAACTACGGCTACGTCATCCACAGTATTTGTGCGCAGAACCAACATCAAAGTTTCCAAAAAATTGCATGAATTATTAATCAACTAGTGCTCAGAAATTTGAAATCTTTATTTTAAATTAAAGTTAAATTCTTTCACTACACTTGTATGTTAAAGTTTTTAAACTCGGGTCACGCGTTTGGACACAAATACCCAACATCATTGTATAAATAGCTAAACCGTATTTCTTAAACTCCCATAAAGTTTATTAATGGGGAAAACAGCTTTTCCTGCAAAACCTACAAACCGTGAAGCATCTGGAACGAAACTCCTATTCATAAAATTCACATATGTACATACACTTCATCACCCAACTCCAAGGGGTCCGACGAATTTCGTAATTCCCTCCTTGCTTTAGCCAACTCTACTAATCTATTAGCTTCCACATCATCTTCCTTATCACTAAACCATATTTCAACTGTATCAATTTTTTAAATTTTGTAATAACAGCAATTATTTTAAAAATGGTGTAAATGAGACACTAAAGAAACAAATGTAAACAAACAAACAGCTGTTTACAATTCAGTCAACCATTCACAATAGTACAAATTTGTATCGATCAAGTTACACAATAGCAAAATAAAAGATGATCGACTCGATCGACAAATTTCTATTCTACTGCCAGTCGACACTCGGAATAGGGGCCTTATATTTCATCAGGTATACAGCATAACTGCTACAAGTAGCAAACTATTTTGGGGGTGTTAGAAAGTGCTTAGTTGTTTTTTGTTTCTGCGTTCTTTATTTATTTTTCTCTGTAAAGACAAAATACATGCATACGAACATGCATGTTATGTATGTACATATTTATGTATACAATTTTAAAAAATATTGTACTAAATAATCTATGCTTATGTTTATAGATAAATTAAATTTTTTCTGCGTTCTCTGGTTGCACCACGCTCGCTGCGAGTCCGCGCGGCACGCGGCATGAAGGCAAAAGCACCCATGGCAGGAGCGAAAAAAAATAATAACTAGCGACTCCGTGCAATTTTCCGTGTTTTTTTTCTTTTAAATAATGTATTATAGAATAAGGATTGATATTAAATGTAAACCATTGAAAAATCTGATCGAGAAGTAATAAATATTTCCATTTGTTTATAAATTAAAAAACAAAATTTAAAATTGTATTAAAATAATGATTATTTGAAAAATTGAAACAATCAGACTAAAGCGTGTCTAATTAACTATTATCGTGGAAAAATTAGAAAGATACATGCTATGAATCAGTGGATAATAAATAATTACTGAATTCACCAAAAAAAAAAGTTTATAACAATAACTCTTGTAAAAATTCGAATTTTGCAAAATTGTTCAAACTATATATTTTTTTATGGTTGTAAACCGAATAAAGTAATTTGTTCGAAAAAATCTTGTCCATCCAATTTTGGGTGGCCCACTTGAGAGATCTTCACTCTAGTGTAATTTGCTGTTTCAGGAAAATTGATTACCTGTATATTTTCCAAAAAAGGAGGAGGTTATCAGTTCGTCGGAATATTTTTTTATTTTTTTTTATCTATGTTACCGCATAACTTTGGACCACGTCAACCGATTTCGATAATTCTCGGAAAGGTAGTGTCTCAGAGGTGGTCCCATACTAATCTGGTTAAGATCCGATCAGCGGATCATGAGATATATATATATATTTTTTTTTTTTATATGAGAGTTGAAGTCGGTTTTGTTTTTGCTAAAAATTACTTGTTATAGATATTGTTTATGTCAAGCGAAAAAAATGAGAGGGGGAATGAAAGATTTTTGTTTTTAATTTTTTCTTGAATTTACTATTTAGGAATAGAATATGTTTTTATTTATTTTTTTTTAATTTACTATTTACATTGTGCATATGTGTATGTATGTAAGAAACATAAGCAAAAAAATTTAAACAAAAATAAGTAATTAAAGGTTCGTTAGTTTATTATGATTTTTATGCCCATAAAAACAGTAAAATTAAATAGAGTTTATAAATATGTATGCCAGACCTGGACTGGACTCGGACTAGTTCGAAACAAACCTGGAATGGGTTCCAATTTGCCACGAACTAGTCCAAACAGGTCCTTAACTGATTTCGAACTCAGCCCGAACTAGGTCAGATCCCGAACTGGCATTGTAGGTACCAAAATTATTTAAAAAAATATGCTGTACTAAAGCATTCTGAAATACCTTTCGATTCAAACCCATATTGTACAATTTTAGTTAACTTGCATATCGTCACCTGAAATGCAAAAAGACGTAACAACATCGTAAATGAAATGGAAAAAGTCGTGACTAATTTTTTTTTTTTTTTTTTTTTTTATAAAATGATGTGAGGAGTTGTAATTCGATGAAACCCATCATATAAATGAAAAAGTGAATTTTGAATTTTTTACTAGTTATGACTTTTTGCATTTCAACGATGATGTTTGTTACGTGTTTTTGCATTTCAGGGGACAATATGTATTTAAATAAGTTTAATTTGAAGAAAGTTGGCAACCCTGTTGATAAATTTGAGCGGGTATAAGCTTACACAAGAAGCCTTCATTTTATAGTCATGATAGGATAATTCACTGAAATTATATGCATATTAAATTAGCTTTCTAGATAGGTAGATAGCAACCCTTATTTGATACCCATAATGGAATATTTTACTGAAATTCCAAATGTACAATATACCTATATGTATACTTAATTTAATCTTTAGATAGTTGGCAACCCTATTGACCGGATCAAAGCTTACAGAAATAGTCATTGTTAAATGTATGGATGGTTTTAATGGTTCCAATTCGAGATTTTATTTAACTTAAGATTTACAATTTAGGTTCTAACTTTAAGATAGTTTAGTCATTCCCTTGATTCTCAACTTTATAATATTGAGTATCAAGGGAATGATTAAATTAACAATGAAAATTGAATGAATGTATGTAGATACATATGGGAATTCAGTTTGAGTGAATTTAATGGAGATACTTATGTATATTTTCGAAATGATAAAGATGATCGGTGATGGTTATGTTTCCCACATTGGATGAATTTGGTGGCTCCGTCACGATGATCGATGATATAAGGTTGGCTGCTATGAAGATAAGAAGGCCGGATACGAATGAGCGTAGCGCATTTATAGCCATCATTGGAAGTTCCAATTGGAAATGAAAGCAGAGATGCATTTCTTGACCATTTCCACAGGGATGCTTGTGTAATTGAAGATGCGCAGGGATGCATTCTTCAAGTGGGCGAAAGTCACTTGAACATGCCGGTCCGTTGCACTTGTGCAAGTCTTTTGTGCGGCTGCTCCAAAGCCTTCTGTACTTGTTAGCATTGTATGGCGTCTGGTTTGGATTCGCACAGTTGTAGATGATATTTCACTGTGGTTTACCTTCTCTTTGTTCTTGGGTGGCAGTATACATTTCGTTGAATCTTCTGTTATACGGTGGCTGCTGATGGGATGTTCATATCGGATACGTTCCTTAATGTCCATTTTAGGAATCATTTTGGGAAAACATTGAAATAATCTGCAAATAGATTTTGTTATAGTAGCTTTTTCGTACCCGTTGATTTGAAGTAATTTCCGAAGCTTTAAAAACTCCAAACGGACAAGGCTTGCAAATTCGCTTGTGTTACCGGTTAATTGTGTACAGAGACAAGTCAGCTTTGAAGGAAAATCAATCTTGAGTGGCCTTGTTTGAAAGGTTATTGGGATTTTTATTTTGGTCGTTGATTTAAACATGAGAAAGTTTTGTTTTGAATACAATATGAAGTCAGGGAAGTGACTTTCTAGGGCGGGTTTCTCGTAGCTCTTTGTATTTTGATGAAAACTCTTTTTACAGGTTACTAAAGTTTTGTGGTTGAGATTTGAAGTGGATGTAATTGATAAGGTTTCGTTGAATGAGGAAATTCGCATTATTATTCACTCGCAAGGTTTTCAGCCCAGATGAGGAACTGGTTATTATATCAGACTGAGGAGATGGGAGTATGCGTTGTTCAAGTGAGGCGAAGATTTGCCGAGATGATAATGGTGAATTATCGGGTGGTTTCAAAAGCCACTTTAGTTCAATCCACCAAAGAAAACGACGTAAACAATTATGATTAACGATTACGAGTTTATGTTTAAAGTTGACACTTTTAATAAATTATATCGATAACATCACCGCACGAAATGGTCTAAAGCGCAGAGGGTTTGCAATATTTGATGGTGTAATTATTTTTAGCACATGTAAATAAAATGAAATTTCATTGGTCGATTTAGATCGGACATAGATTGACGAATTAACGTCCTTTTTATACAAATTGTACAAAAGAAGAAACTGGTAATTTTGATTTATACAAAAATCAGCGGAATTTGGGTTTGGAACTAGTTTCAGCATGGTTTGTCTCCATTTTTGAAATTCGTGTGGTTTTTGCAATACTTGATGGAATTTTATTCCGGCTTAGTTATTATAGGGCGATAGCGACTCTGCGGGGTTCGAAATTTTCGAGACTGGTGATTTGGAAATTTGCCCTTTTGCAACATATAAACAGAGTTTGACATACTTGATTGAAGAAGTTAACGAGTATTTTAACGTGTTGGCGTATAGAGTGGAATATTTGGTTGTTTTTAATAGCCCACTCAAATACGATCGGTGGGATTTGACTCTTTGGTGCAGAGATTTTGGCATTGCATAACTGCCTTTTACCAAATGGATTTGAGATGGATTGGTGGTGTTTGGATCCTTACTGCTATCTTAGGCTCCTTGGGGTTAAGCCTAAGTAGAAAAATCGTGGTTTGTTGGAAATTAATAGCTTTTGTATGCGAATGTTGCTGTTATTACGTTGTTTTGAACTTTCTCCGAGATGGATGATGCTTTAACATCCCCTTGGAGCAAAGAGCCGACCTGCTTGCTCGTTGTTCAATTGGGTATTCTGATGTTGGTTTTTCCTGGGGTTGCTTGAAAAATTTGTTAGGATTTCGAATTTAGTGTCGGCTAATGAAATAGGCGATTCCTTGCTTTGGAAATTGCTTCCAGAGTTATAAGAAATTGGGTACTTGGATTGATGTGAGAGAGATTCGGTTTGTTGAGTATGCAAATATGCATATGAAGATACTAGCTTTGTTTTTTGATCATTAACTACTGCCATACGTTTTGGTTTGCTAGTCGATAAGGGATGTAACATTGTATGATGGGGTTCTTTGCAATGAAAGCATTGGCGACCCCTTTGGCAATTGTTCAAAACATGATTTCGTCCCAAACAGTTGGTACAATAGTGGTTTTGTTCTACGAACATGGTGCGTTCGGGAACATTGGATTTTCGAAATTTAGGACATAATTTCAAAGGGTGTTGGTTTTTGCATAATTTACATTAGATAAAAGGGGTTTCTAGAGAATATGATCGATTTGAAATTGTATTTTTTTGTGTAAAATTATTGGTTGTTGCGTTACTAATGCAGTTTGAGGTGCAATGTAATAGCCCAAGCTGGTGGAGAATTTTAGGTTTGCAAATCTCAAAGCTATTTGTACACATGTGGAATTGAGCATGTGCGTGTGTGTGTGTTTTTAATGTTCGATGGAATTGAATTTTCTTCGTCCTTACATACATATATTTCCAAAAGAAAGATGTAACGTTTCCCAACCGGATTGGAGATCTTCTAACTTTACTTGGAGTAAAGAACATGTGTGATCTTTCAGTATAGCTTTTTCGAAATATGAGCAAAAGCTTATGAGGTATTTGATTCGAAGTTAAACTTCGATGCCGGTGAAAGATCAATCACATAATTGCCTTAAATCGCTTTATAAAACTTGATTATGTGGCTTTAATATGATTGTAATATAAATGTGACAGAATTATAAAATTTTCCTACGGGGTGCTTGCAAATAGGCACTTCGTATTTTGTCTACTGGGTATATGCAAGATATTTGCAAATTCTTATTTAATACTGAATGTTAACAGCATTTGTTAGTTTTTGCGCTCGCGCAAGCAGAGTAGAAAACCACGAAAGGCTATGAGTAAAGGGAATTGGATGAATGTCAGCGGCGCAGTGCGACTGCGAAATATATGTACATAAATGTACCTGAACACGTAACAAGTAAAATGCAGGTGCAAGGAGGGAAATGTAAATACTTTGCGTTTGCAAACAGTGTTGGTTAGCGCTTTATTCCTTTTTGGAATTTATTAGTTAGAGGTGTTCGGGTGCTGCCAAATTTGGCTCGTAAGGACCATGTTAAATGTATGGTTGGTTTTACTGATTCCAATTTGAGATTTTATTGAACTTAAGATTTACAATTTAGGTTCTAACTTTAATATACGAGTGACTTTATAATATTGAGAATCAAGGGAATGATTAAATTAACATGAAAATTGAATGAATTAATATATGAATGTATGTAGATACAGTGACGAGCAAAACTGTAACATGGAGTAACACTTTTCTTTCAGCTGTCGCTATCTTTCCAAGTTCTAACGACATTCATACTGTTGTTGTATATTTTTATTGGTACATCTTTGCTTCCTCTGTCATAACGATTTGAAGTCAATTCAACAACATTAACAAAACCAGCAGACAAAAATGTAAATTAGGGCATATGTTACAGTTTTGCACTCATATATTTTTAATAACTTTTTGACAATTTTCACAAAAAAAAAGAATTATTAACACAATGTTCAGTATGGTTTTGCTTTATTTAGTTCCTGGTTGCAATTTGGCATACCTAATGTGCATGTCTGTAAAAATTCTGGAGGTATAGCCTCCCATATATCCTTGGTTTGCTTTCACAGCTCATGTACTCCATTGGACGGACTTGGATACTTAGTAAGATGCGCTTTTAGTTGATTTCGCAAATTCTCGATGAGATTCATGTCCTCGGATTGTGGAGGTCATTTCAAATTAGCAAATTTCTGCTTTTGTTCCAGTCTTTGCGAATATGTGCAGTGTGCTTTGGTAGCAGGAACTCTAATTTTTTCGACTACATCTTGCAAATTTTGTTGAAATATGAACAGATACTGTTCCTTACGCATAATACGTACAAACGGATCAACAACATTTTTGAAATACAACCCCAAACTATTATTGACCGACCACTGTGATTCACAGGTTGCCTTACATGATGCGCTTATGCTTAATTTGGGCCTTTGTTCCAACCCATGCCCGGCCATCTGCTTAAAAGCGATTAATTTAGTCTTGTCAGACCACATAACCCTCAATTAAATCTTAAAAATGTGTTTTTTATTGCGTTCTGTAAGGCCTAACATATCCCAATAGGCAACGGTCCGGTTTTCGCGCGATGCAGCAAAACGCTGCCACACTCGCACATGTATTTTGATCAAATTTGCTTTTTTCTTCTTTTATGATCTACTTTGCTCAATTTGGCAACTTTTCGCCTCACTATCTACTGATTTGCATTCAATTTTAATATCTTAAGCGCTTCTGTAGTAGTGGCTGCAGCGTTACTTGCTACTAAGTTCACAAGATATCGGACTGTAATATATTTTGACAGACTTCCTTTGTCCTTAGTAACACTTTAGGCTATATTTTTTCTCAGTCTTAACATTTTCATGTGGCAAACTCCACATTTTTTGCCACTTTCCCTACGGTCCCGCCTTGTCGCAGTAAATCTATTATTTACATTTATGTTTCCTGATTAACCATATTATTTATTGGTGATCACTTCTTGAATAAATTACAATACAGAAAAAAGTCATCTGACTTCCAACTAAGCAAAAGATAACTGTAAAATGCAAAAGAGTGAGTGCAAAACTGTAACATATGCCTCTAACTTTACATTTTTGTCTCAGGTTTTGTTAATGTTGTTGGATTGACTCAAATCGTTATGAGGCAGAGGAGAAGTGTACCAATAAGAATATAAACAAATGTAGTGAAGTCGTTAGAACTTGGAAAGATAGCGGGCTGAAATAAAAAGTGTTACTCCATGTTACAGTTTTGCTCGTCACTGTACATATGGGAATTCAGTTTGAATGGTGATGAACAATGGGTTTTCGTTTTATATGAAATGAATTTAATGGAGATACTTATGTATGTATATTTTGGAGATGGTTAAGATCAGACATGGGCACTTTTTTGCCCGCGCAGTAGCGAAAGTGCGAGCGCGGGCTGGAGAAAGGGAAAAACAGTTTACGGGAGGAAGGGTATGAAAAGTTGCGAAAAAATTATTTATATCCCACCGACATCATGTTCATCGCAGTACGGCTGCGGTAATACTGACTTTGTGTACCAAACAAAGAGCATACATTTTCCTCATATACCAGCAGCGTTGCCATTTTAGCCGTTTTCCGGCTAGATTTAGCCGGTTTTAATAGCAACTAGCCGGAGAAAATTCGATCTAGCCGGCAGCCGATTTGTTAGCCGGTTTGTAAAAAAAAGGTAGCCGATTTTACTATTTGCCTAATTTTCAGGTGCAAAAAGTAAACAAGTTGTTCGAAAGCAATAATGCAGACCCAATGAAGATTTTTAATGAACTCAATGTTTTACTTTCGTATCTATGCTCCCTGGTGGATATTAGCGCGGACACATTTGATCCTA